TTGCTGTTTATCAATTCTAATGGTAATAAGGAAAACCATCTAGATAGGCGGCAAATAAAAGAGTTAAACATTATAGAAAGTCTTCTGTTTCCTAGTTTACGGTAACGTAATTCAAACCTACCTGTGCGACGACTACAAGGTCTAAAACACCAGTACTTACTTGCCTTCAGCTTAGTTTCCAAACGTAAAATTTGAAAACTAACAAGGAAGTGGTCAGAAGTCGAAGTGGCCAAACCAAACAAGCTGTATACCATTCGATGCAGTATAAAATGCTGACTTCGAATCTGATCTTATCTGCTTCCCGTTTCTGTGGACGAAGCTACAAGCGGTTTTATTGTGAAAAAATCACACATAAATACAGCGAATTTGAGCACACTGTTGCACTTTTAGCTCAGCTTCTTTCTTTAAAAATTCTATGTAGGCTAGCTGCATGTTTTGGCCCAGCATTAAGGCGAACGTGGCTCACCAAGGCTAAATTTTCAATTTCACGCGTAATTTCTTAGCAAAATAATGGTCTTTAATGGCATGTAGCTTCGTCCACAGAAGCGGGAAGCAGATAAGAAAGACAGTTTCGAAGTCAGCGTTTTATACTGCATCGAATGGTATACAGTTGTTTGGTTTGGCCACTTCGACTTCTGACCATTTCCTTGTAAGGACTAGATCGCTAGTGACACGCCTGTGTTTCAAACTCTGAAGCCTTAATTTTTCTAAATGACATCGATAAGAAGGTAGTAATTTTGGATAATCAGGATCTGGGTAGCATCTATAGAAAAGTATCCTCGTAAAAGTTTTTTGGATTTTTTCAAGTTTTTCGATACTCTTTTTTATGTAGGGACTCCATATAGGAGAGGCATATTCAAGGAGTGGTAAGACATAACTTTTGTATAACGTTAGAAAAACATCAGGATCTTTGCTATGGATGCTTCTCAAGATAGTGAAGAGAACAGAATACGATTTTTTCAAGACTAAATCAAGGTGTGAGGAAAATGTAAGCGATTTATCGATCATCACACCAAGATCTCTTACCAGGTCAGACGTTTTGAGTTCAGTACCATTGTAGTAGTACGTGCAACAAGGAGAGTCACCTAGGTGCATTACTGTAGTCTTTGCCGGATTCACCGGAAGGTTCCAGTCTTTGGACCACAAAGCCATTCTGTGAACTGAAGACGAAATTGCTTCGAAAACTACGGCTTGTTGAGTTTGTTCATAACAAAAATAAATTTTGATATCGTCGGCAAACATTCGAATTTTAAGTTCTGGATGAGTTTTCAAATAAGCGGGTAACTCGGCAACATAGATTAAAAATAAGAGAGGCGAAAGAATACCACCTTGTGGTACGCCGCTATTGCACTGGTATCGATCGGAATAGTTAAATCCAACACGAACAGTGATTCCTCTTTCGTGGAGGTATGATGATAACCAAGAAAGAACAGGTCCTCGAATACCGTAATTTTCAAGTTTTGCTATAAGTTTTTCGTGATTAACTTTATCAAACGCTTTAGAAAGGTCAAAATAGATGATGTCAATTGAGTTGCCATGATTGAGTGCAGTTGTCCAGTCAAAGACAGAGTCAGAAAGTAAGGTCGTAGTTGAACATCCAGGAAGAAAACCATGCTGTTTGTTTGGCAGTACATGATTTTCTTCAAACCATTCATAAAATTTACGCTGCAGTATTCTCTCTAGAATCTTACCAGCCGAGGGCATTATGCTAATGGGTCGATAATCTGCCACTGATTCACGGCGTTCTTTCTTAGGAATAGGTGTTACAAGGGCTTCCTTCCAGTTTTGGGGTACTGAGCCCAGAGTTAGAGATACATTATAGATGTACAATACCGCTCACAGAATGTGCAAAATTTCCGTAAATGTCGCAGAATTCCGAGAATTCCGCGAAGGTTCGCGAAATTCTGGGAATTTTGCGACATTTACGGAAATTTTGCACATTCTGTGAGCGGTATTGTACGAAAGAGGGACACAAAGAGAATCAGCACAGTTTCTGTATACAATTTGTGGAATGCCATCATATGTAGCTGAAATCACTGACTTGAGTTTTCTCATAACTACATAAACAGTTTCGGCGTCAATATGTAACTCATGAAAGGATTCGGTGACACGAACGACGTATGGGACAGCAGATAAAAAATCTGAAGCATTTTGGGTATTGTTATCATAGACAGTGGCAAAGAATAGACCCAAAGCTTGCGCCTTCTTCTGGTCATTTTGCAGAGGGTTACCGGAACATCGGACAAGGCTGGTAATTTCGTAACACTTTTAGTTCTAGTTTTGAAATATTGAAAAAAAGTTTTGCTGCCTTTTTTGGCAAGACGGAGTTCGAAGTTACAAAGAAGTTTCTCAAGGTGGTAGCTCAAATCACAGCAAACTTTTTTATAGAGAGGTGTTTCAGAGGTTCTTGGAAAGTAGAAAATAGTTGGGATTTTTGTTCAAGTAGATTGAGAATATGTGGAGGATAAGTGTGGTATGAAGATTTCTCAAAAGTATTAGGTCGTCTCATAAGTTTTTTCAATTTTGAATTTTTACCGCAATAAGTCACAGACTTCTCAGTGATGATTAGAATGCAGGGTACCATTCGATAGAGCAGAGCAAGCTCTACAAGATGTCATGTAAGTGTTCGCACCGGCTTCAACAGATCACGAGTAAGAAGCCAAAACCTGAGAACTTTCGGATGCCTAAAAAATTGAAATTTTCTTATATCAATGTCCAAAGAAAACTTACCGGATTCCAAACTCGCTCACGCATATACACTCCACAAAATACATTCATATATGCCGTTGCTGTGTTTGTTCCTGTGCTAGAAACGGATAAAACTTAAATTTTCAAGCTTTTAAAAAAGCGATGCTACACTGTTCTCACATAGGTAAATATATACTACAAACCTTCATAGATACATCGGTAAATTTTCAGCTTCCTGGAAGCGCTAGTCCTTGAGAAACACAGAATTTAGCTCTTTTTGCTAGGGTATTTTGTGTTTAGATCAATATTTTTCGGGAACTAGAGCTTATAGAAAGCTGAAAATCTGTGACTATACTACTGAAGCCTTGTAGTGTACATTTACCTATGTGAAAACAGCGCAGCATCGCTTTTTTGCAAGCTTGGAAATTTTAGTTTTCTCAATTTCTAGCATAGAAGCAAACACAGCAACAGCATATATGAATATCTTATGTCGAATGTATATGCGTGAGCGAGTTTGGGATCCGGTAAGTTTTCTTTGGACAAAGATATGAAAAATTTTCAATTTTCCAGGCATCCGAAAATTCTCAGATTTTGGATTCTTACTCGTGATGTACTGAAGCTGGTGCAAACACTTACATGCCATCTTGTAGAGCTTGCTTTGCTCTATCAAATGGTGCCTGTATTTTAATCAGTATTGAAAGTGTGTGACTTACTGCGGTGAAAAGTCAAAAATGAAAAAACTTATGAGACAACCTAATAAATGGAACATATTTGGCAAAAATTTTGTATAGTTCCTTGCAAAATCGGTAATATAATTCGTCGACTGACTGAAAGTTTTTAAAATGTTCATCCAGTCTAAGCATAAAAGGGCACTATTGATCTTGTTATAATCAGCTTTAAAAAAATTGGGAAAAGGCAGAAAAATGTTTTTTGAGAATGAAAAACTTGTCTGAAATGTTACGACCATGTGATCGGATGAGCCAAAGGGTACACGAGTGTGCAAGTTTTTCACAATGTCGCTACTAGAGAAAACTAGATCCAATGCTGAATTACCTCTTGTTGGAATCATCACGTTTTGAATTGGGTTCAAGCTTAGGAAGAGGTTGAGGAAACGCTCGTTTTGTGGGTGCCTAAATGGAAAGATTGCATCTACATTAAAATCGCCTACTACAATAGATTCAACTGAAAGGGAGCATAAATCAGTGATTACATTCATTAGAGCATTATCGTCTGTGATAGTAGCAGAAGGGGGTCTGTACACCACTATAACTCTTAGAGGCGATAGTGAATGAACTGAAAATACATCAAGACAAAGAAGATCGCACTTGATACCATGCTTATATATTATGCGTTGCACTGGAAAGTCATCTTTCACAAAACAGCATACACCACCGCCTCTACTTCCCAAGCGGTCTTTCCGCTAAATAGAATAGGGAAGATCAATTACTAGTTCTGATTCCAAAATTTTCGGGCTCAACCAAGTTTCAGTCACACAAAGAACATCAGGAAAGTGTAAACTCAAAAAGACATGAAGTAGATGCAATTTATTTGTCAGACTACGGGCATTAAATAGATAAAAAGGAATATGATCAAGTAAACCTGGCATGTTTATGCGTTTCCCTGCAAGGGACGCCTTGAAAGCTGTGAGATATGTTTGAGTTCTCTCCTGTAGACGACCCACTCTTTTGATGGTTTTCCTCTATTCCTCTCTCTAGCCTGTTTGCGTAGGTCAGCGTCAAGTTCTCTCTCTGCGGGAGTCATGTTCCTGCGCAGGTAGACACTGGCTAGGGCAGAGTTTCTCAACCGATATGAATTCGCCAAAGCTTGCGACCAGAAACGCCGTGAGGGAAACACGATTTTCACAAGTCTAGGCCTACCGTCGACAACTTTACCCATCCGATATATTTCGGTGGGCCAGCAATCGACCCCCAAAATATCCAAGACTTGAACCACGCTACCCTCAAGGTTTTCTTTCCTACCCAGTATTATCACCTGCCCAGGAGGGGCCTCGGGAATTCCCACCACCACCACACTTCTTTCTCTCTTCTCTGTCTCAACATTTTTCGGGATTTTGTCTTTCAGTGCCAACACTAATCTCTCAATGAGTGGATTACGGTTCTTTTCGAGAATCGTGTTAATGATCTCACTCACGGATAGATCATTCAAATCAACATCATCATGAATGTCATTCTTAACCAGGGTAAAGCGGGGGGTGCGGCACGCCGCAGGGGGGGGGGGGTCGTAAGGGGGGAGGGTAGGTAGGGGGGGGGGGGTCGTATCGACCGAAGGTTAAAAGCGGTTTCTAAGGCGAAATGACTGCAGCTAAGTTCTTAGATGTGCCACGCTCTTTCCCAACTACCTCTGACAACTCAGGTTCAATAATTGAGAGGCATACTAAATGGAGTCTGGAGCGCACTTGTACAAGCTGTGTGACTAAATTGACTTGATGAAAGCGCTGTTGAAATCTTGCAAAATTCAAGTTCAACAACACAAACTTGCAGATACCGTATGCCTACCGTAGCCTACCGTACCTCTAATCAAGCATAATTGTCGTAATCCGCGTGTCGAATAACCCCTATGCGCCAAGTTTCGGCGAACTCTGAGGTCTCCGAGCAGTAAACAACCTTGTATAAAGCAGTAATTTAAAACATGATTAACTTCATCTTAACGGTGAGTAAGCTACCTCTTCTTGCACTCAATACAAAGCACTACTCCTTCTTTGTCCACCTCAGGAATCCCGCTTCAGAAGACCTCCAAACTATTGAATTAGAAGCCAACCAAAATCGCTTTGACCTTTTGATCGCTGTGCTTTCACCAAATATTACTCAGAGCTAAGAAGACGAATCAGGCTCAAAACATCCCTATGGAATCTACGAGGTTTAGGCTATTGATTCATATAAATATTGTCCGCTAAAAATGTTTTTTTGATATAGTTAATGGCCTGCGGCACCCCCCCCCCCTCCTCAAAACCTGCGGCTGCCGCAAGTTTTGAGGGGGGGGGGGGGGTGCCGCAGGCCATTAACTTACCTTCAAAACGTTCAAACAGCTGCCTTTTTCATATCATCCTATAGATCCATCCTTACTCTCTCCGTAGTAGCCGTTTCCCCTCGAACCTTTTTCTTTAGAAGGAGATACATATGGTTTTTGCGAACCATATGCTGGGAAGTGTGGCCAAAAAATATTGGGTTACGGTAGTGCTCGAAAGATTGTCAAAACACAGAGGCGCGAGATACGCGCTTTTGAATCCCACCCTCGTTATAGGCTGTGATGTTCTCGCTTTTTTGTTCTTTTTCATCACTTGTTTCTCTCATTGTTCTCTCAGAAAACTTCAGCCCTATTTGTTATGCAATGTTACAGGTGTTGTTCCATTATTAACCACAAAACAAGTGTATTGGAAAGGAATTTTTGAAGAGTTGGTGCATAAAAGTAGATACAAGGCAGCAATCGTCTTTCTGAGAAGAACGTGAAGGTTCGCGAAGGTTTTTTTTTCAATGTTTGCATATGATCAATCAACTTTCAACAATTGTTATCAATTTTTACGTTAACCTTATGCGCTGTTGGTATTTTCTACGTTTCTTCCGAATCCTCAAGATGGCTCACTCTAGTTCTCAAAGAGGGAATTTTGAAACGGCTACCACTGAATATACCAGCCTTGGTTCATGCTTCTCCACTCAAGAGCAGTGACGGTGTGTTATACGCAGGTCAGTACTTTTACGCAGAGTGTCGCATCTTTTCGTTGTTTTATTCACCAAAGTATGTTGAGTGACTGTTTCGTTCTCTAGTTCCTTCAAGATCTTATGCCAGCGGATTCTCTTTCCAGGTAGCAAAAAAGATGTTTGGCTTGAGATCGATGCCCTGACTGGTGCTAAGGTCAAACCCGTCTTTATCACCATTTTTGGTTCTGCTGACATCATTGTAGGTAGAGACGATGTCAGCCACGAATGACAAAGTTTGTCCAGCTAATAATAAAAATGCCGTGTTCGTTGGCCGAGCTGAATATCGTGTGAGTTTTTTAGTTTACCTTGATTTGGTTTGAGTCAACATTTGTCTTCTATTTTTGTATCAGTTCTTACCCTCTCACAATAACGCAAAACAAGATGCTGTGCTTAATAGTCTGTGTTTCAACTTTTACTCATCCTTCAAGTTTACTGCATCCTTAGAGCAGTCCATTAGTCGCGAAATTACAATGTGCTCCTTGATTGATTTTGGCGCTTCAGAAAGCGTTCTCAGACATGAGGTCAAAGAATGTGTCAACAAGGTTGAACAATGCGATTATCTTGGTTAGTTTTGCCAATTTTCGCTTTTGTTCAAGAAAGTATCATGCTTCTTTCTTGTGCGTTTTTGATGATTAACTGTTCTTGTCCTGATTGTAGTACGACAGTGAGAGCGGTATCCTATCAGCGGTTGTTCGGTCGAATATCTCAACGCACATCACATTGTAATTATGGAGAAGGTTTTTTTAGATGATTTCTGGACATATTTGCACATTTTTCTTTTTTTTTCTGTTCAGGTTGATGGAAACTTTCCCCATGCTGTGTATTGGTGCACCTTATGCGACTACCACATGTCTAGCATACAACATGTGCGAAGTAACTTTGAACAGCATGAGCATTTCGCGGATGAACAAGTAGGTTTTTGTGAAGTTTTGTGTTTTTTGAAGTTTTTGTGAAGTTTTTTTCTGTGTTTTTGTCAACTACATTTCTGAAGGCTATATATGCATCGTGCTCGTTGCTGAGCACCATTCGCAAGTGCTGGACTAGTTCAGGAATTTGCAGCAGACACTTTGTTAGTGAATTTTGCTGTGGGGCTCTGCAGGATCGCGAGAGTCGGTGCGGTTGCGGCCATTGCTCGCGCATTGAGCTTTCTCGCTATTCTTTTTCCTCTCAAATGCCTTTCTGCTATCAGATGTTGGCTTTCATTCATTTGAAACGGTTTTGAAAAGAACGGGGTTGTTCTGTTTTAGGCCTTCTGGCATCCTGTGTGCGCAATGGCCGCAACCGCGCCGACTCTCGCGATCCTGCAGAGCCCTATACGCACCCACTGGCTTTAGATGCTTAAGAATACATCTGCATATCTGAGCAGTAATCCATGCAAATTTCACGGTCTAAGGTCTTGAATTCGTTTTCTTAATGTCCCGTTTCTTCGATTTAGAAAAATTTTCTTGTCGTTTTGACTGTATCGATACTGTTTTAGGCATAATTTACAAAGCGCTTGTGACCTATCGACAAGAACGTGACCGAAATCCACGGCTCACAGTTTATGAGCACGTTTACGCTTTCGTTAGTCAAAGTACGTGTACTACTTTATGACTCTGATCAGTGGGATCACCAAAACTGCATCGGATCCCACATGTTCTATGGGTACGACCTCCAATGTGTCTTTACCTAATTTTAGATAGGTCAAGTAATTGTTCTGCATGTAATTTGTAACTTTGTATCAATTTCCAAATTGCTGATAGTATATTTTAGTCATAGAATGCGTATCCTGTACTTATCTCACCTCATCTTATTGCCTCCAAGAGTCTTAGTCTAGCATCAACCAAAGCTTTCACATGTCCGGATCGAACTGTACATTGTTCTTATTCATTCTGTGCAAAAATGTAAGTATGCGATACTCAGTTGTTTGTCGCAATAAAAGGTGATACTTTGTATTCTGCGTCCTCCACATTAACGAAGTGGTACTCGATAAACTTAGTTTTTCCATGGAAGTAAAATAAATGATTGTAATTTTTGTTAGCTTGTCTTTGAAAATTGGTATAAGTTTTTCTATCCTTTTTAATCGAGACTTGAGGAGCCAATAAGTTGGTAGTTCGGGGGGGGGGGGGGGAAGGGATGGGGGGGGGGGGTCGTATCCGACGGTCGTGTGCCGCACCCCCCGCTTTACCCTGTTCTTAACGACGTGATCTTTGGTGGCATCTGAACAGGCTTCTTCCTGAGAGTACGAGCTTGTACAGGTTGAGACTTGTTATTCGGAGCTGGCATAGTGATGGCGCGATATCGATTGACTTGCAAAGAAACTTGACTGGTGGCCCAACAAACAATGAAAAATTCAAAATCAGCCTCAAATTTTGGCAATCAGAATATCTTTTTGACACACAGGAGGAGGACAAAAAGATATGATGATAAACAAAAGGGTAATATCAGCCAACAAATAGGGATAGGTAAAAAGTCAGGAATAGAAGCTTGTGAACCAACCACTCGCTGCGACTGCAGAGATGAGAATGTTTAAAAGTTTATGTTTCTTGTGTGCGGTACGGTGAGGATGGTTTTACTAATGCGAATTTTGCGCATGACCTTTGAGCAGTACCAAATCTTGCAGTAAAGTAGCAGTAACACGTTTCGAAAGGAACATCCAAAAAAAGTCTTAACATGAAATTATAGTATTGTGTGCTGTCCTTCGACACGCAAAGAGTAAATCCTATTGTAAAAAGGTCAGGAGGCACGATTGGCACTAATTTTTTGCGAAGCAACGATGCGACTTGAAAACATTAAAGATACTAACACATTTACACTCCTGGCTCAAACTGACTTATGACATATCTAGCTGGCTTACCCGGCTCCGCCGTATGTTCCGAATAGAAAATTCCATTTCTAAATTTGGCAGAGGGGTGTAATCGAGCATGCTGATCACCCCCGTGGGGGTGATCAGCATGCTCGATTACCCCCCTGTGCCAAATCCCAGCCCCCTAGCTCAAATTTTGCAAAAAATCGATAAAATCGATATCGATCGATGACGAAAAGTAGCCTATGACACCCGCCGGGGCCCGAAGTGTATGTGTGCAAAGTTTAATCCGGATCGGTTCAGAAATGGAATTTTCTATTCGGAACATACGTACAGACAGACAGAAGACGACAGACAGACAGACAGACATACAAACAGACATTCAGTTTTATATATAAGAAAAAGTGATCTGCCCCACCACCCTCTAGTTTGCCGCAGTGCCAGTCTAGCACCGAAAAATATTCGTGGAGCACCAAATTTGAAAAAAAGGAAACTAGAACTGACTACGTCATCATTTGTCAGTAAAATTGCTTGTGATAGGTATAAAAAACACAATTTTACCACTGTTTTGAAAATGCAGATAATAATCTATAATAATGTATCCACACGCTAAATTACGGTTTCCCTAATGCAATCTGTCTAGAGCTGGCCAAAAATTATGAAGTATGTCTCATAATTATATAAACCTCTTTAGGATGGTTTCTTCAAAAATTTAGAAATGTTGTTGGCAAATGAAAGTATATTCATATACAAAAACGGTGGCGCCAAAAAAATGACGTCAACCTCGGAAAGAGTTCCGTAGAATTTGAACTCTTGTTGTTGAAAGCAAACCTTTCGCGCAAAAACTTTTTTTTACTCAAGGCTGCAATTTCCGCAAATCAAAGATTTTGGGAAGTTGCAAGCAGAGCTTGATGCCTGAAAAAAAGGAGTCTCCTTTCTATAGCTCAAGCTTTTAGATTTACTTAGCTCGAAGCGTCTGCTTCATCATGATACTGACACTTTGCCAGCCCGTAATCCTTGAGGATACAATACCGCTTACAATTAGCCAAAAAACCCACTTGAACGGGTTTCACCAAAATCCGCGTCGCATCACGTTTCTTTGTTCGAATGAACAAATTCGAAATCAGCTCGATGGGCAGCATAGCAACTTCTGTGCCCGTTTGGATAAGACGGTTGAAATCCAGATTTTTGAATTTTTACTTACGGTAGTTGACGCAGTGTGCTTAGTCCATTGCACACCGAAGTTCCACCACTTTAGTGATGCTTCTCACGTTGATAAGATATTAGGTTTTCCCGAAAGTTCTGTCGTTTCATTTTTAAAAAAATCATAACTTTGCGCTGTCTCAACGGATTTACTTCATTATATTTTTATCATAAAGAGTAAGTCTATATCTTTCGAATGTTGTTTTTAGAGCTGCTGCTGCGCACTGACTTCAGAGGTAAAAATAGAAAAAGAAGACCATATAAACTTTGCTCATTTTAACTTAGGTCGCCGAAAATCGAGAACGCTGCAGAAATATCTGAAATCGCCAATACATAGATTTTTTGACCTATTTTTGCAACTGTGAAAAGTTTGTCCTGTTTGGACGTCTCTTAAAAAGTTATGATTTTCGAGAAAAGCGTCAAATTAATCAATTATGGGGTTTCCTGTAGTAAACTGGTATTTTGCAACTTCTCACAGAGACGTTCAAACAAGACAAATTCTTCACTGTTAAGAAGAGTAGATCAAAAAGCATATGTATTGACGATTTCAGATTTTTCTGCAGCTTTTCAGATTTTTATCAACCCAAGTTAAAATGAGCAAAGTTTATATGGTCTTCTTTTTCTATTTTTTCTCTGCAGGCAGTGCATAGCAGAAACTCATCAAAACAGCATTCGAAAGATATAGATTTACTCTTTGTAATAAAAGTATAATGAAGTAAATCCGCTGAGATAGCGCAAAGTTATGATATTTCAAATATGAAACGAAGAACTTTCGGGACAACTTAATATTACGAAAACAGTTTGAAACATTGGCCCATCTTTCAGGTTGAAGTAATTCGCACGCTCTTGATCTATGTCAGTTTTTTTGTATTTAGAAGGCTGCTCCATATTTCGTTACTGCACAAAGACTCTGAGAAAAGTTTGTTCGAATGCTTGCATGATACAACTTAATTCATACCATCACACTTTTCCTATGTGTATGCTGAATTTTCTATTTTATTTTACATCTAAAGGTTTTGTACAAAAAAAATCAGTTCATGAAACAAAAAACCTTAGACTGCGGAATTACGTCAAGTGTGAAATCGCTACACCATTGAGAATAGCTAAAAACAAACTGTATTATATCTTTCGACAATTAAGCGAAATTCAAAAAAGCAAAATTGATTATTTTCCCCCTAGCACTACGGCAAAACGAAATTCCATCCTTCTATGTTGTGGTTAAATCGAAAAATTTGTCGCGACTAGATATTATTAGTTTTTTCAAAAGCAGGACGTAACTTTGTAGAAATGCAGGAAAGTTTTGCTCAACTTGTACCTTCTAGATCTGCTTTAACAGAAAAAAGGCTCTGCATTACTTTCTAAACTGTCAACCTTGAAAGAAATCAACTGGTATTTCACGCGGTTGTGTTAGCCTGTCTAGTGATGTGAGGTCACTTACAAGGGAACGATCCCAACTTAAGGTGGCGAATTGGAATGAACCGCATACCATTAGATGCATCTTGATGAGCTGATTCCAAATCTGTCTTCCATATCTGCGACAACGTTATTTGCAAAAAGTTATGAGCGGTTGAAAATGTGAATTTATTGGGGTTTTAATGCATAATGTGCTTCAAAATCCAACTTGGAAGTGCACGACTAGCGTCATATTGAGTGTACTGTTTTCACGGAATGCTCACATTCAAAAGGAACACAAATAAGTGTTTTTGAACAGCTAAAAAACAACTAAAGCTCTCTGGTAAAAGCTGTGAGCAATGAAAAATCCAAATTTGGCAAATATGCGGCGCCATTTCTCGAAAATTAGTTGTTCAAAAACACTTATTTGTGTTTCTTAAGAATTTGAGCATTCCTTGAAATCAGTACACTCAATATCATGCTAGTCATACACTTCTAAGTTGGATTTTGAAGCACATTATGCATTAAAACCCCAATAAATTCACATTTTCAACCGCTCATAACTTTTTGCAGATAACGTTGTCGCAGATAAGGAAGGTAGATTTGGAATCAGCTCATCAAGGCGCATCTGACGATATGCGATTCATTCCAAATCGCCACCTTAAGTTGGGATCGTTCCCTCGTTAGATAATGGCCGGAGGTATTCTAGTTCACATTCCAAACTTGAATTCACGAAGACATCGTTCATGAAGTGATAAGCAAAGCTCTCGACTTTCAAGTTCAATAAATCAGCTGAGCATTAAAGGCAAAAAACAACAATAGGGACAAAATTCTATAAAGAGCCACTCCCTCTACCCCAAACTTGGTAACTTAGTCTACTCTCCAAATTTTTTTTTCGGTTTTGCGTGGCTAATGAAGTTTTGCTAAAGCTCGAATATAGAGAACTCGTCCACCCAGCGAGGGGCGGGGCTAATGATACACCCCTCACTCATAATAAGATACGCCATTCCTCTAGCTGCATCTATTTACATTCGGTTTTGGGAACATATAATCGGAGTTGTTGCCGTTGCCTCACAAGATATGCATCGTATCGTTGAGTGATAGAGAACTTTTTGAGGTGTTTCAGTAAAAAATGAACTCTTTGATTCAGATTCAGCGCAAAACTTTTCGTGAGCCCTATTATCACACTTTACCGTTTGTAAATTTGAGCTTTCAATTCTTCAAGATTCTTATGAACAGCGTTAAGTTTTTATCAATGCATAATGAAGCAAAATAGCGTCTGCATTAGCAATGAAAGAGAGAGAAGTTTAAAACCGGATTATTCTAAAACCCTGGCTTATCTTGACAGTGCATGAAGGCAATCTTCTAATAATCTCAGAAGAAACGATTATATTTTGACAGTCAGTTTCAACGACAAATCATTATCTTTGTGTATAAAAGGACGCAAATTCCAAGAAAAAAGTGTATGACGACAAGCATGACGACTGTGTTGACCGTTATCCTCTTGATCGTATCTCTTGTGCCAACAAGGTAAGTTCTCTTGATGGGCACATTGGACATATTCATTTGCGACGTGGTGTGACAACTTTAATTTGCCTTTCAAAATAATAATGTGTGAAATGTCATTGCCTATGGAATTGTATAAGGCATATTTCAATTCGGTTCAACAATTTGTATTTGAGGGTGCCTGAAAGTAATGTTAATTTTGTTTACTATTTAATTTTGTTACTCACTTATTAGTTTTAAGAGCACAAAAAGGGAAAGAATAGCGATAATCAACGAAAACGTTGCTCTGAAAACTCTGAGAATGAATTTCTTGGCACGAGAAGCGGAGCGCAGCCCAGAAAAAAGCTTTGTGTTCAGAAGTTTAGACAAAATTCTACACTGTCTGTTCCTCAAGTTTTCTACAGTTTTCTACTTTCACTGTTAGGACATCGAACGGGATTGAGAAGTGGCACAAGTCGCTCTTTCAACTTTTTGATTTAATCCCTTGATGATTCCATCAGCCAAGAGTCTCCTTTTTAACATTTTCTCTTTTTTTGTAAAAACATCTCAGGTTTTCACGACTATCTTTTCCAAAGGACTATCTCTTATAAGAATAAATGTTTTGGATAGAGTTGCCGAAAGGTTAGTGCGCTTGGCTGCGGTGAGGAAGGTTCCTGATTCAGTCCCGAAGGGCCTAACTGAGCAAAACGCACGCGAATCCACCGTCAGGCTGCTTAATTAAGGAAGCAATCGACAAGCAGGCTGAATAAGACACTCCCCGCATCAAATGCTCTTTTATGTTTTATCAATCAAGTAAAAGCTAGGGCACTTTCCGGAGGCGACGCGCACTTGAGCCCCTATGCATTGGTAAAAACTTAATGCTCTTCGTAAATCTCTTACAAAGAATTAAGCTCAAACTTATAAACAGTAAACAGAGTGATAATTGGGCCCACGAAAAATTTTGCGCAGAATTTGAATCACAGAGTTCATATTTATTAAAACACCTCAAAAAGTTCTCTATTACTCAACGATGCGATGCATATCTTGTGAGGTAACTGCAACCAGTCTGATTATCCGTACCCAAAACCGAATGTAGCTAAAGGAAGGGCGGACTTTATAATCGACTAGCTAACTTACCCGGCTCCGCCCGGTCCTGTCAAAACACTATGATAAAGGTCTTATCTCTATCCCTGTACATCTTTTCCCTGTACTCACTTCTACATACCAATTCCTTACTCCCGCCGTGTTAGTTACAATTATGCTCGATTACACCCTGTGCCAACCCCCAGCCCCGCAGGTCAAACTTTACAAAAAATCGTTAAAATTCGATAAAATTTGCACTTACATGTTGACAAGTTGCGGAATGAGGCGAGTGATTGCCGAGGGTGCGGAGGGTGCAGATTGTCTACAAGGCTAGCGTGTTTTCGTAGGAGTACAGGGGGTGGTAAATATCGACTGTCTTCGAGGAAGGCGTCCAAAAGGGGTGCGGTTCTTGAGTGCAAAAAGGCTATAGTCGGGAAGGGGCCGACACTCTCGTAAGGTTGCTAACAGTATCCCCCCCTCCCTCTTTCGCAAATTTGTACTCGGATGTATGACTTGGGAACTCGGTGTCTTGCGTAAACATGCTGTAGTAGTTTCTCAACGTTTACGCTTCAACTGTTCACACTCTAATCTTCCTGCTAAAGTTCTTGGCAGCCCGTAATTCGTCAAAGTTCATGGTTGCTCATAATTGGTGAGGACTGATGAGAACAGTTCTTTGTTCTTCTCGAAATAAAAGTTGGTAAACGGCCCGTAGAGCGACTTTTATAGGTCTCTAAGGCTCAAAGGGCAATCATTTCTTACAACTCTGGTCTATTAGCTGTCCATTGGGTAGATCTTTCAATAAATGTAGTTGTTCATACGACACTTTCTTAATTTGTAGGGGCTCGTAAGGCAGTTCTGTTAATAGTATTGATCGGCATCTGTAAGCTTCACGTAGCGAGTTTTTTCTACAAATCATTCAATTATCGTTCCATAAGCTTCGCATATGGCAAAATTATTTCTCAGATGCTGATCTATAAGCGGCCAGAGCATCTCCTAGAACAGTCGGTCTGTATGCGGCGCATAGGGTAGTCCCTTTGAAAGTTGCTTTGCATGAACGTGAATATCGTGAGCGATTCATTATTATTTTTTTGTTTGGATACTGGAAAATCACAAATACTTGTTTATAAGGAACTCGCAGAGCGGTTCTTTTTCAAATATTGATCTATGAGCGGCTCTTGAGGCAATTTTTTTCAAGATGTTTTTTATATACCGGTCTGTAAGCGGCGCATAAAGCATTCCTTACCAAGATAATGGCCTGCAAGAGGCCCATGGGCATTTTTTCACAAGATATCGGTTTGCAACCACCCCTTCCCCCCCCCCCTCTCCCTTCCCCCATAGGGCGGCTTCTTCCAAGCCCATAAGGCAGTTTTTTCCCTCCGAATATCGGCCTGTAGAATCTCATATGGCATTTCTTTTTGAATTTTGGTCTGTAAGAGGCCAGTAAAGCAGTTTTATCACAGAATATCGATTTGTATGGATTTCAAGGGCACTTCCTCGAAATATCGTTGTGTAGGTATCTAATTGTAAGTAGCTGATAGCTCCATTTTCTTCGATCAGAACTTCGGTCTTTGGCTCCATAGAGCACATCATATGTGAGCGCTTCGTACGGCAGTACAGTTTGTAGGGGTTCTAGGGTAATAGAATTTTAGGATATCGGGCTGGTTCCTATAGGACAGCGCCTTCTCATAATTATTGGTCCGTGGGGAAGGAGGGGGGGGGGGGGGGGAGAGAATGGTTGTAAGGTAACTTTTTCTCAGAATATCGGTCTGTAGGGCGGCCTTAGCGCAGTTTTTTCTCAAGTATGGGTTTGTTGGGGGTCAGGGGAGGGGTTTGTGTACTTTCTGAACCGGTACATAAGCTTCGTATAGGGCAATTATTTTTTTATAAACATCGGTCTATAGGGATTGTAACCTCTTAACACATTGGTCTTTCAGTGGCTCATAGGGCATGTTCTTCCTACAGTTACTGGTCTACAGTGGAGCGTAGGGCTGTTATTTTTTGATGCATTAGTTAGGACGTAAAGATATGTCTTAAGCAGCCTCAGAGCTTCTCTTGTTCTCAAAATATTAGCTTGTGGTATACACAGAGCGGTTGTTTCTTGAAAAAGTAGTCCAAGCGGCTCTTTGGGCATTTTTTAAAGCTTAATTTGAAGATTTTAAGAGCAATTCCTTCTTAAGATATCGGTCTATGCGCGGCCCATAGGGCAACCTCTTCTCGAAGTGAAGGACCGCAAGCGGCTCATAGGCTTCTTTTTCATGTGCAGTTTTTTTTGAAAAATATCGGTTCGTAGGCAGCCCACAGGGCAGTTACTCTTCAAAGTAAGGATCTGTAAGCGGCCCATAGGGCCCTTCTAATGACTGATCACCGTTCGCGGGCAGTTTCTTTCTTCTGTAAGCAGCCCATACCGCTTCCTCGCAATATTAGTGTGCAGGGGGCGTGGCAGATTTATCCCAGAATGTAATGTAATATCATTTATTGTTGTTCAGAGGACAGTACTTTCTCAGGTTATAACTCTGTAGAAAACCCGTAAGAAAGCTTTTTCTCGTGAAATACCGTTCTGGACAATCGTAGGGCAGCTCTTACGTATGTCGCTCTGTAGGCGGTACGCGGAGCAGGGTTTATTCAAAAAAGTGGTCTGTAAGCGACACGCAGGGCATGAGAACAATGCTTGTTTTTGCTGCCGAAATTTTTCGGACACTAAAGTATGTTTTCAGTTTAGCTGAGGTATTGTAAACTACATCGTTGTTCTGAGAAGACTGCTTGGTGACTCTCAGTGAAGGTTGGTGGAAAAATTTGGCCCAAAGAAAATTTTTAGAAGGGACTCAAAAGAGATCGACTATCAACAATGAGATTCTTATATTTAGAGGAGAGTCAAAAGTCATTGATTAATCAGTTTCGTGTTGCCCACAACTGAAAGGTATAAAACGTAGGTGTAATTGTCTTGACAATCATAAAATGCTAAATTGTATTGCCCCAACCCACTTGCAAGCGGCCCTTAGGGTCGCTAGTCGTTAAAAAGTAGCCTAACACCCGCCCCGCCCCGAAGTGTATGTGTGCAAAGTTTGGTCCGGATCGGTTCAGAAATGGAATTTTGTGTTGGGAACATAAGTACACGCATACATACACACATGCATACAGACAGACAGACAAACAGACTTTCAGCTTTATATATAACCAGTTCAAAGCGCCGCTACGCGGCGCTTCGAACTGGCTGAGTTGCGAAGTGTTTGAAACTTCAAACTACTGGAGTTTTGTAGCATGCCCTCTTCCGCCAAGAGCCCACATAACTCGAAGAAACAATGACTTTGATTCCACTGATTCAATAAACTATGTATGTTTGGAGAGTGTGTTCGAGCAGTAGACGCAGATTGCCACAGATTTCAGTCAACTTTTTTTTTGTTTTCTCGATACACATATACCATAAGATTTCATTTGACCTTAGCCAAAGAATCCCCAAATGCTTTGACTTCTATCTCCAAATGACCTCTCAATATTTTTTTCAGCAAAAGGTTTTGTTACAAAACTTCTAGTCCCTTTCATTCCTAGATTTTGCAAGTGGGTGCCCCTAAATACTTTTTTGTTTCATTTTTACTCAGCTTGCAGTCGCAAATCTTCTATCTAAACCTTTTGTGCCGAAAAATTCTAATTAGTGTTCGGTGTCTATTCTCCTAGTATGAGATTTGACTTTTCAAACTTCCTGCCAATCTTCGAATTTTCGCAGTTTTATTCAGAAAAAATTTTTTCTCTTTCTAGAAATTCAGGATCTTGCCATTAGACTTTGAGAGCCTGATGTTCTTCTCTTTTGCGCTTACTCAATTGATCAAATTGCGCCAAATTCTTTGCTTATCCCTCGGAAGTTTTCAATCCCCCCCCACCACCACGTCCCTCAAAAATCTATCCTTATGTTTTATATTAAAGCGTTATGACGAAATCCTCGTTTTTACGCTTTCTTCGCAATCTGC